TGTTTGCCCTTTGCATTATATAATGTTTTATGTTGATTTACACGAATTTTTAATTGAGGAACTGGTTTTGTTTTTATTTTGACGCTAGATATTCTTTTTTAATAAAACATTTACATAAGTTGGAGTTTTATTATTTTTAAAGAAATATCCCGAATTTTCATTAGGTATTGTATTTTTGAATATGGTAACCCTACTTAAGAGCAAGAATAGTTTCAAATTTTTATTGATAGAATAAAAAAGTAACAAAGAATTGTATAGGATTACTAATGATAAGTACAATAAACAAATTGTGTTTATAAAAAGCAGCCTTAAAGTAAATGCAGTCAAAAAAAAAAAGATACAAATCCATAAAATGTCATTTTTTGTGACAGTTGCCGGCTAACAAAGACTTCATACCTAAATGTGTCTGTAAAATCGAATTTTTTATGGATGTCATTGAGAAATAATTATATGGCCATTCAACAATTCTGTGGTCGGCGCTTAAAAGGTAATAAGTCGACATTACACATTTTTGGAAAATGGCGCTGGAAAATTTTGGGACATATGAATAAGGATTTTTAGAATCCAAATCGACGACATTTGGACAGTTTTTATTTTAGGAAAAGTATTCAAAATTAAAAATAAATTGCAAAGTAATTCTTTTAAATTTACATCCAATTATTATTAAGACACATATTCATCGAAATATAGAGCGCTCGAATATGAGAAATAAAATTTAAAATATAAATTTATTTCACAATAGTTTTTATAGGTAGTTATATTTTAAGATTTACTTTCGATTACAATGAATAATAAAAAATAAATATATTTCAACAAAACGAATTCGAAATAATGGCAAATCATAAAGAAATAGAAGTACATAACCAGGGGGGCTTATAAAATATGCGCGTTATATCAACAGGTTAGTGCGCAACACATCCGCGCATATCAGTCCGTTTTACAATAATAAAATGATATTTAAATTTAAAGTACACTGAATAATTGAATAATTCAAATATATTTCGCTTAATAACAAAAGTAATACACGGTAAGTATTGTTTTAAAATTATATATTTATATAAATACTACAATTATTTGAAAAACATGAATTAATCAATTATTTGTACAATGTAAATCTGACTTTGGGATTGTCACCCGTTCGAACCGATACAATAACAAAACTGAACAAAACAATATGGTTATGGTTGCTGAATAAAACGTGGTAAGTACTTTTACTTTTAGTTAAACATGTTAAATTTAAAATTAAGCAAAGATATTTTGATGTTTTAACATGTGTTTAGCAGGTCCTGTTCGTAATAAATTCATAATATCTAATTGTAATAGCGTTGTTTGTATAAAGGTAAATAGTACAATTTACTGTCCAATTTATGCTGTACATTTTAAGAACACATTTTTTTATTTCCTTCCGATATTAAGCAAGGAACTAAATGATGCCGCATAAACTTCATCAATCCACTTGCGAAAAACCATTTATAGGTTACAAGACTGTAAATTGGCTTTACCTTTGGTACCCTTGAAAGCTAAATTAACAGTAAAGAGTAATACTAAAGTAATATTGTTATCATACCGTCAAACAAATTACCAGTGAAAAGAAAGTTACATTCGATTAAAATTTCATCCAATGAAATATAATTAGCTCTTAGATTTTTAAATCAATCCAGTGAATGGTTAGCTCCAAGGGAGAAAAAACTCTATTTTATAATTAGAAAACAGCAAAGTAAAATTTGCGAATCAAAGAAGGACCTCAAAGCTTGATCCCGCAGACATCTGTTTTTTTAAAAGTACTACATCTAATTAAAAGATTATTAATTATTAATTATAAAATATTATAATGAAAGTATAAAACTGTGACAATGTCTAAAAGAAAAAAGAGAGTAAAAATGATATGAAGTTAAAATACTACTTTGAATTTTTTCTGTTTCAGATTATATGGATGGTTCTCCTTAATGTGTTTTGTTACCTACCCAAGTTTACAGAAAGTTTAAGTTGTTTTATTAAAATATTGTTTATTTAGAAAATTTATTATAAATTAGTTTTAATGATATAATAGATAATACAATTATTTTATATTAAATTATTTTACCCTTCCTAAAATTATGGGTCATAAAATTTTACATTTTGATTGGCATTTTGTTACATCTTGCACCTTGTCTGTGTTGTAAAAAATGCCAATAAAAATGCAAAATTTTAGTTATACTAATTAAAGGAGAGCTACAAACAAAATCCCGCTAATTTTTAAATAAAATAAAATATGCAGGTATCTATATTACCGACTGAGAAATAGTTGGACAAATCCCTTACCGGTGGCGCTGCAAGCAAACCTGTTGCCATATTTCTTCAAAGAAACGGCAACTCTTAATTATCCTTCCTCCATGTACATAACCTTCTAAAGATTTTTAAAAACTATTTTCAAATGAACAAACTACCTAATTAATAGTATTAACACTACTAACAAATTCTTAACAAATTGTCAATTATGTGTTAAACACAATAATAACGTCTCAATAGAGCAGGGAGTTCCACAAAGATCTCTATAGTTATCATTTCTATAACTTTCTGCCATGATATATATTCTCACAATCGTCCCTATAGTAACCAAATTCAGTCTTTATGTACCCATCAGTTTACTGACGACACTGCCCTTATGCTCACAATAAGTCTAAACAATAAAATTTCAAAGTTTTTGTAATAGATAATCAAGATAAATCCTTCCAAAAGCAAATTGATCATATTTAACCCACGCCTTAGCAGATAATTCTCCAACCATAAACATTCAAAATTATACAGTAAAACCTACTCAACATAACAAATATTTAGGAATAAATCTAGATCATAAACTCAATTTCAAATATCATACCCAACAAATAAAAATCGGTTTTTTTACCCAGAACTTCCCTCGATACAGAAATTGTAAAAAGGGTGAACTCCAATTAAATATTCCATAGTTACCAAAATAAAAGAACTTACATTTTAACAATTTAAAATTAAAATCACTAAACTACCAAAACCCTTTGTCACCTTCCTCTCTCCATCGATCTTCATCTTGATCTCATCAGAACTCTCACTTCACGTCCGTCAAGTGTTCTACGTCACGTTTACCGTTATTGAACGATAATGATTGGCTGCTTTTAATATGGTCCAATTACACAAACCAAAAGGACGCTTTTTATTATTTTATTCAAGGGGTAAGTTATAGGGATATGGAAGGAAGTACTGCAATGTTTTTATCTGCCAAAAATTATCTAACCGACAATGAGCTGTGACTGGGGGCATTATCGTGAGGTATGATCCACTGTCTGGCCCTGCGGAAATTGAAAGGTTCCCATTACGGAACAATAAACAACATTCAAAGAGACATGAAGCAGGTTCAAAACAGCCTAACGGAACAAGACTTCCAGAATTGTTACCAGGAAAAAAAAACTCGCTGGATACTCTGTGTGCATTCGTAAGGAGCATAGTCTGAAGTCTAATTTGTAAATACATTCAATAAAATACATTCAATAAAACACAAAATGAAATATTCTCATTAAATCTGAGAAATCCCTCATATATACAATGTATTATGTTATCCAAAAATCACCATTATTAATACGGATTGAAAAACTCCGATCGATAGCCCTTTGGGATTACTCCCAATAAAGATGTTTTCTTCTTCTCTTATTTTTTTTAAGTTTAATTGACCTGTGCATGGCTCTCTGACTGCCAATTCAAAGAACTGAAAATCAGTTATTTCCAGAGATAACAGAGATAAACCATTCATTGATAAAATATAATATTCACGATGCCAAGATTAATTCGATAATCGATACACTCTATATATAGGGACGCGGCGAGGAGACGAAAGGTGAGAAGTAAGTGAGGGGATAAAGAGAAGAATTTTACGCAGTTACAACTTATTTTTATCAATGAATAAATGTGTGAGCCGCTGTGTGTTTATAATAACGTAAATATCTATGCCAATATAAGCCCTGTTGCCACTTCCAACCTAACATGAGTAGGTTTTGGAATTTATTGAAAATTAGTATATCTAATTTAGTGAAATTATACCTAATTTAGTTAAATTTAATATAACTAATGATTCAAAAAATTTTTGGGTTCAGTTGCAATAAAATAGGTTGAATTATTTCAGCTTTTTTTATGTATGCAAATAATTTTGTAAACAAAACGAGAATAATGAAATAGACATATGACAACAGCGGGTATTATACCCTCTTGCGTCCTTTAGAATATGTCTTATTCAGGACCACACGATATTTGTAAGTAGTTACATCTCCTGTTATCTCTGGTTATTTCATTGCTGTGGACACCAAACATTAGAAAAAACAATTATTTTATGATCGCAAAATAATCAATGCCTATAAGATTGGCAGTCAACAAACCGTTTGCAAACTGCTGCAGAAATAAACTTATTAAATCCTTTAATTTTTAATTGTATGGACCTGATTAAAATATAATAGCTAAAATATCTATACCAAAGGAACTATATTGTTAGGATATTTATCATACATTTAGAAAGTTTAAATGGCTAAACATTTACAAACAATGGACTTCCTGACTCAATTTAAGACTTTAAAACTTAGTAAACATTTTAAAAAAGCATACATAATAAATGTCTTGAAGCAATTTAAATTTCATTATACAAAAAAGTAACACTCAACATGCCAAGTTTGCAGGTTTTAAAACATTTCTAATTTCAACTTTTCTTTTTAGTATTTATGAATAGACATATTGATTAAGGTGGTACTGAATGGATATATTGGTTGCCAATTTAAAACTATTTTTTGTGAATAGGTTAAAAAAAAGTATCTTTTTTATTTCTGAATTTAAAAATCAGTTTGAATTAGTTCCTTGGCAGAAAGACGATAATAATTCTCCCTACAGTGTTCCCTATATTTTTATCTATATTAAATATCACAACAGCAACTTATTCCAAATTCTAATAAAAATATGTAAAAACAATAAATAAAAGCTCATTCTATTATTTTTTAAACATTTCTTACCTGTGATGAGAATGATGATTATGACTTTGCCTACTGGGAGGTGGAGGATGTTTCCCTGAGAGGTATGCCAACAAATCTTCTCTTCTTATCAAACGCCTTTTTCTTTTGGCCCAGTTAAATATTTCAATATTCCTCTTCTGGTAACCACTTTGTTTTGCTAGTTCATTTGTTTTTCTCAGACTTTCACTTGAATCTAAATGAAAAAGTAAGTAATTATGGCATTCATTAAATGATTTACTGTGAATAACAAATTAAATCGTTTGGTTTGAATTAGAATTAAATTTTTTTGCAAGTTATTTTTTAGATTTGTTTTTGTACAAAAGTGTAAAAATAAACTTATTAATCCCTTTTCCTTGATACAGACAATTGAAACATAATTCAAAACAAACTACCTTGACAAAATCATAATTATTAAAAAAAAATGGAGATAGGTAATGGGTAGATACATATTGCTTTAGTCTAGAAAGACATCTTAAATATAAAATGTAAAATTAGGACGACCAATAAAGACATTTAGGTAATTTTGTGACTATTCATGTAAATTCTTGAAATACATTGGGTAGTGCAAATAAAACTTAAGCAAGTAATTGCTTTTACTTAAAAATGGGTAATATACATTTTTCAACAAATAAGATTCTTTGCTTAATATTCTCAGAAGCTTTACCAAACAATTCCTATTTCGTAATTGCCTATAGTTAAAAATTATTATATTTTATCCACACTACTCATTATTTCTTCATAATATGGAGTGAACCAAGAAAAAATATTTCTAAAGTAGGCCATGGAAAGATTACACATGTCGGAGCGTACAATTGTTGTCTTTTAAATGACAGTTTGGATTCAATACTGAGGCGATCGTATCTCTGTCTTTATCAGTCATAGCCTATTTTAGAAACATAACAAAAATACGTCAGTTAAGTTTTTCAATCAATATCATTTAATTGAACAAGGTATTAAAATGTAATCCAAACAAAAAAGTGCACTGGCAGTGGTCTACAGGGTGGGCCATTAGTGCGTGGGTGGAAGATTGTGGGTTTATTAAGGTACATTTTTAAAATTCATTTTTGGGGCATGGTGTAGGACCTCTAAGGCTACAACCTAAAAATATTTTCGATGAAATTCCAATTGTTCTACAGGGTGATTTATATCAAATTTATGTTTTTTTTAATAGGAACCCCCTGTCTATTATTGCATATTTGGGTTCCTCCATCAATTTTAGTGTGACTTTGTGTATCACACATGGTATCTAAAATGAGTCGTTAAGCAGTAATTCATTATTTTTTCAAAAAGTAGATGTCTAGTAAAAATTGAATATCGCAGTTATTATAAAACTTGACTCTACAGTGTTACTAAGCATGAAATGTACTAACATTTACCAGACGATCAAAATCAAACCCTTTTCTAATTGTCACAAAAAGTGACAGATTTACTTATTTTTTCACAGCCTACTAATTAAAAGGTTTTAAAAATTGAATAATACTGTGAATTATTAGATTTTTTTAAATAAAAAGAAATCTGTAAAAGATAAATATCACAATATCATTAGAAAGGTAATCGAATTCTGCATGTAATGAAATTTAAAATAATCAAGTTACCTTGGATTGAAATTTTGTAAATTGGCGTAGCGATTACTTTAACCCTTTGTCGTCTGGCGGTACTCAAAAGTACCACAATTTCAAATATCAATGAAATCGTAATGTAGTCGTTTAGAAGCATCATTGCCTGTCGGTATATTAAAGTACCAATAACCTTTCGCCGTGAAAACAGATTATTTGTAGATGTCGCTAAGGTAGTCAAGATATTTAGATTATTTGCGAACCTGCACAGTGTGAATTGTACCTTCGAGAGCTTAGCGTGTGTGTATTTTATTCCAGCAAAGATTGTGTTGAGGTAAGCGATTTTTTTGTTTAGATTGAATCTGTGTATGTTTCTCAATTAGTTTAGATAACAAATACGGCCCTAAAATAAATTATTGCTTAGTAATCAGGAATTAAATGTTTGGAACTTATAAGTACCGACAGGGTGTTACAGCATAAAATGGTAAAATATTATTTGACTAATTGTTTACGGATTTTATGCAATGGTAAGTTATTTTTTTTTGTTTTCAGACAAAAATGGCTCGTAATTACGGGAATAAATATTTGACAGACACGAAACTTTTAATAGAGGTGGATAGAGCATTAGTTGAAATCGAACAGTACTGTAATATTGATTTAGATAATAACTTTCAAACAGATGAAGAGGACGATGATATCGAGAATAATGGTTCGCTTATGGTTGAAAACGACGAAGCTGAAATAATAATGAGAATGGAGACAGGAGTTGCGGAAAATATAAATGCAGAAAATCAAGACGAAATTATTGAAAATGAAGAGGGGATAGAAGATAATACTGAAATGAAAAACAGCGACAGTAAAAAAGCAAGAACATCTAAAAAAAAAGAAAGAGACTCAAGAAGAGATTAACAGAAAATGGAAGAAAATAGAAGTAGAAACACAAGTACCTGAATATAATGATGATACAGGACCGGTCTTTGATCATTTTGCAGAATGCCAAACGGCAACAGATTATTTTTTAAAATTAGTTGAGCCTCTTATTGACAACATTATATTTCAAAGTAATCTCTATGCTGTTCAGCAAAATAAAGTTTTAAATGTCCAAAGAGAAGAACTGTTATCGTTTCTTGGTATAAATATGCTTATGGGGTATCACGTTTTACCTTCTTGGAGGAACTACTGGTCAACAGCTTCAGACTTAGGCATTCCCTTAGTATCCAGTACCATGAGTAGATTGAGGTTTGATACCATATTATCTAATCTTCACATCAATGATAATTTACAGATTGCTCATCACAATACTGACAAATTGTACAAACTAAAACCAATGATTGAAACACTCAATTCAGTATTCAACTCTTACTACAAAGGAACAAGAGCATTGAGTGTTGATGAATCAATGATTGCCTTCAAAGGCAGAAGTTCTATCAAACAATATAATCCAAAAAAGCCCATCAAGAGAGGATACAAGCTATGGACAATAGCAGACCAAAAGGGTTATATTTTACAATTTGATGTATATACAGGAAAAACAGGAGATGAAATGGAAAAATCTGAAGTGCCATTAGGAGAAAAAGTTGTTTTGAAACTTACCAAAAACTATGTTGGTAAAAACAGGATGGTGTTTTTTGATAATTATTTTTCTTCTGTCCAATTAGTGGAAAAATTAAAAGCTGAAAAAACACTTGCATGCGGTACAATTAGAAATGATAGAAGGGGTCTTCCGAAAAATTTAATCATAGACAAGAAGATGAAAAGAGGGGACCATGATTATCGATTTACTTCATCGGACATTGGGTTTTTCAAGTGGCAGGACAATAAAACAGTGACTTTAATTTCAAACTATCATGGTAGCGAAACAACCACCGTAAAACGAAAACAGAAGGACGGTACTTCACTAGAAATACCTTGTCCAACTGCTGTAAAAGATTATAATACATTTATGGGCGGAGTTGATCACGCTGATCAACTTAGAAGTGCATATGGATTGAATCGAAAGTCAAAGAAGTGGTGGCATAAATTGTTCTGGGGAATGTTAGATATATGTTTTGTAAATGCTTTTGTGATCTACTGCTCCAATCATGAAAAAATTCCTTTATTAGAATTTCGCCGTTCTGTTGCTTTAGGTTTGATGACACAAAAAGTCTTCCAATCAGTCGGGAGAAAACGACCTTTATCAGATCCATCATTAACACTCACTAAAAGAAGGAAGACCAACTTTTCCGTTTCAGCTGATATCCGTCTTATCAACAGGGGTGTCCATTGGCCAATATATGTTGAATCAAGGGGAAGGTGTGAAGTATGTGCTAAGCAACACATTCAGTCCAGACCACACTCCAAATGTAAAATGTTTTCTTATGTAGTAATGAAAAAAAAAATTGTTTTATTCAGTTTCATGAAATAAATATTTAGTTTTCACTATATAATTTTTTTTGACAATTATAAATAGTACCTAACTTCCTGACGGTACCCAAAAGTACCACCTACCAAAACACAAAAAATACATTTTGAAAAATTTTGAAAAAAATCACATAGTCTATTTTACTACAAATTTACAAGGAAAACCCTTTAATAGCTTGCTAAAACTTTTTTTTCTTCTGATGGTCAACAAAGGGTTAAACACGAAAAGGTTTAACTTTGATCGTCTGGATAATGTTAGTACATTTCATGCTTAGTAACACTGTAGAGTCACGGCCTTCTAAGTTTTATAATAACTGCGATATTCAATTTTTACTAGACATCTACTTTTTGAAAAAATAATAAATTGCTGCTTAAGACTCATTTTAGATACCATGTGTGATACATAAAGTCACACTAAAATTAACTGAGGAATCCAAATATGCAATAATATACAGGGGATTCCTATTAAAAAACATAACTTTGATATAAATCACCCTGTAGAACAATTGGAATTTCATCGAAAATATTTTTAGGTTTTAGCTTTAGAGGTCCTACACCATGCCCCAAAAATTAATTTTAAAAATGTACCTTAATAAACCCGCAATCTTCCACCCACGCACTAATGGCCACTCTGTATACTATATATCTACATTATTTAAGAGGCAATTAAGTATAATATGGGAATAAGTTAACAATCGTCTTACTCTACATTAGTATACACCTTGTGATGTTTGTAATATTTTGTAATATATAGTGACTATCTAGACATTATTAAAAACATTTTTAATGTCTTTTAGTATCATGTTAAAATTGTGATATTTGTAAATTGTGTTGTTGACATTTGATTGTATTTTTATTTTTGGGTTGCCCGTATATACAAATAAAAAAACGACTTTAAAGCTAGATGCAAACACTTGATTTTCATTAAATACACACAGGATTGTCTAATTATATGTGTTTGGTAATATTCAGTCTTCAATAATACCTGTATCTCATGTGACTAAATTGACGTTATTAGTTATTGGCTAAAAGTAACATTAATAACTTCAGTAGTAATCTTAAAACAATGTCATTGACCTATTTGACAGAATGTATACTTAACGTGTCAAAAAAAGTCAATAAGAATAGCATTTTTTATTAAATTTCTTGTTCTACCAAATCCAGTGGAATACTGGTATTGTTGATGACAGGATGACTCGTTATAGTTCAGTCAATCTATTATTATAAGTCCTTAGTATGCAAACCAGTAAATAAACAATTTTAATTATTTTATAATTATCAAAATCATTATTATTACTAAACAGAATTTATAGATGGTTACTTTATGGAAGTCACAAGGATCCGTAAATGAAAATGAAATCAAGACCGGAAAATAGACACTAGGGACCAGCTAAGCTTTATCCAGTCCCTGTTTTCTCATTTTTCCAATCATTGTTTGATAATACGGTTTGCCTTGATTTCATTATTATGGCAACTTTGCAATTTATTGTCAAGTGACAGTTAGTTAATTTTTTATTTGTTGTACATGTAAAACTTGTTTTGTAAGTTCGCTAGTTTGAAAATATGGATTCAGATTTTGAATTGTCCGACACAGAAAATGAAATTCCACATTTAACGTAAATATTCAAAAATAATGTATTTGGTCTTATGCAGTTGCATCCATTATTATAATCTTCACACAGTTGTCTGTGAAGAGTATTATCAAAAAAAACAACAATTATTTCCAGTTCCCCACTAGATTGTAATGCATTCAAAATTTTATATATTTTAGACACTTACCTCTATATAAAGATGTTACTGTTCCTGCCGCTGTCTGAAATTGTAACCATATAGCTGCTGGCTCTCCAGAATACCTATCTAAAAAATTTAAAACATTGGATTAGTGATTATCTACAAATTTTGTTCACTAAATTTATGAAATGAGGTGGTTGATCTAGCAAAATACTGAAAATCAATAACTTATAACCATTTTTTTCACCCTTTACATCCTGTGCTATCACCGAGTCTATCAACAGGACCCCTAATACTCAGGTGTGGTTACACTGCAGCCTTCAAGGCTTATTGTGCCACCATTTAAGGATCGTACCAACATATCCAATCACTCCACTTCTTAGATGGTTAAACTCTAGTAACTCAGGTAGAACTCATCCAAATGAGCACTTACAAGGAAGGCAATAATAGTATGGCCTCTAGCAAAAGACCCACTTTGAGCAGTCTATATAAATATATATGTATAATTGACCACATGTCAAAGACAACAGGTTTGTCATATCATAACCTATGATTGGTTCTATTATTTGAAAGAAAACAATTTCTACATAACTGTTAAACTTGTAAACTAAATATATTAAAACACTTACATAAGCAAAAAAAAATTAGTTTGTGTATCCCTAGTTATAGGAACTGCTTCGATTAAAGCAGTGCATTTATTAAGAACACTAATAAATCATTTCATGGTTAGCTCTCTATAATTTAAAAATGCTCTAAGGTAGTAAGAATTCTTCGTCTAAAGAGGAAATCCATAATAACAGTACCAAGTTTATAAAATCTTTCATTTACTGTTTAGCATTAATTCTTCAATGAATACCTAATAAGTAGTTTCTAATGTGAAAAAGTTGATAAACCTGTATTTGCTGGTCTCTTAATAAAATGTTAATGTGTATTTAAAAACAAATAAATCATGATTGGACAGATTGATGTATTTTATTAAAACTAGGTATATGCCCACTATTATTTATTTCAGATATGTGACCAGTTTCGACATGCTATAAAAAAAGTTTTTCTTGCACATGTTGGCTGCATTCATAATTTAAGCAGTTTATCTGAGATATTACTCAATGGTTCACAAATCCAGCATTACTATGAGATAGCTCCTGGAATATGCAGTTTTCTGCATACAATTGAGGCATTGATTTTTAAAACAGCATAAGTCCAAAATTATCAAATTCGAGATCTTAGTGACATTTAGTAGAGCATTTTGCAAGCTATTTGATGGTCTGAGCAGTTCCTGCAAAAACCACTATTGTGCCGATTTATAGCGCTCAAAATTCTAGTCGATTCGGCAAAAACAACATATGTCCAGGTCGTTTCTATTAAAAACAGCATTTGTCCAGTACATATGCTATTATTGGCGGGATTGAAACATTATAACCTGTATCATGTATTGCGTTCTCCACTAATTCAGTGGATTCGTTTTGTTGACATGTCGACATGATAAAAATGAATATAGCTAATAATAATAATGATATAGGGCAAACCAATTGGCCTAAAAGGAAGCCAAAAAAGGTAAAGCAAAAGTAAAAGGTTTAGAACATATAAACCATAAAAACAAGTTATTATTATTTATTTTGTTTCTAGACTTACCTAAAAAATATCTTAAGTAGGTTTTTTGTTTATTACGTAAGTGATTGCTTATAAGTTTGAATGCAGTAAATTACAGGATTTATTTTTCTTTTTAGATGCAAGCTGCTAAAGTGTTATAAAAAAGTCCCTCAAGAATTGAGAGTAAAAATTCTGCAGGATTTACGTTCCGCAATTTAGTGCTATTCGGCGACGGATGCCCAGGCCAAAACAAGAATTATATCATGCTTCATTTCCTTTATATGTTAGTACACTGTTTAAAGATATTTGACAAGGTCGAATACATTTTTCCCATGAGAGGACATTCCTATTTACCCAATGACCAAGATTTTTCATTGATAGAAAAGAAAAAGAGAAAACTTGGGAAGGTTGAAATTTTCTGGACGACTGGGACAAGCTCATTCTTAATTCTCGGCTACATCCTTCACATTTTAATTTGGTAAAGGTAAATGTCTCTCAGATATATGATATTAAAGCAGCAACTGATCCATTTTTCCTTAAAAACATTAAACCACCTGTCAAAATAAAAGCTGTTCGAATGATAATAGAAATTAGTTTTTCTAATAGATAGTTACCACGGCCCATGGAGACCCAGCATTATACGTAACAAGGTGCCTATTCCTGAAGGATTACAACTTAACAAATTACATGACGGACCTAACCAGATAGCTCCAATCAAAATAGAGAAATTGAAAAATCTTAACAGAATTCTTGAAAATAATAATAACATGACTAGAATAGGCGTAGACCTCGATAATGAAAACAACAACAGTGAAGATTTGACTGTGTACAAGTTTTCATTTCAGTAAAGCTATTTTATTTTCAATATTTTTTAAGTAATAAACGGGTTTTATTAAACATTTTTTTTGTTTCTTATAAAAATAACATATGTCCCTTTAGTTCTGGTAAAAACAACATAGATCCAATTGTTTCTTTTTTTTTTCTACAGGAACAAAAATGGGTAAACCAGATAACTACCAGTAGTAAAAACCCTTAGGCCTCTAAAAATGTATCTAAATAATTATAAGGCTAGTAGGCTGAACGTTCATCAAGGTAAACGTTTTATTCCTATTTTCTCAAAACTAAATTTTTGGACTTATGCTGTTTTTGAAATCAACCCCTCAATTTTATTCTGAAGACTTACAGAAGCTCAACCAGTTGTGAAGTAATGAGGGACAAAAGGTCCAGTTTTATGCCTCTATTTATTTCTTAAAAAACTTCATAATGGACCCTTTAGTCAGTGCAAGGTACCAGAAAGTTAGTATTTAAAAATGGAAATGCATAGCTACACTATGAACATTTAACCTCCCATTTAACATTTAAATGCTAGGTTTGTATGTTCAAATTTCGTATAGGTTAGAATATTTTATACCTAATTAATAAATAAATCAGGTTAAGGTACCTCAACTTAAATATATATGGTTTGTTTAGCTTTAATAAATAATTGATGGTATTGTTACTAAAATTGAGCTGATAAATATTAACAAAATCTATAAAAACATAAACTATTGGGATTGACTAAATAAAAAAACTGGAAAAACCAAGAAAACAGTGAAATAATTAAAACTGAAAAACTATGGGTTGGATCACCTTCCTATTCAAATAATAAAAGTACCATAATATCTATCTAAGGTATAAGAATTTTATAACCTGGTCTGTACTACCTGTACTACCAAAGATAAGGAAAACTGTTTATAGAAGTATTAACACTAAATAAGTATTATGACCAACTTTAATATAATATTCATACACAAAACTCTCCATCCCAGCACCAATCAACTAACATGTTTTAATTGATTTAATTCCAAGTTTAATCCACTATGGTTTTTAATAGAAATCGATAGGAAACTTAGATAAAAGCAAAATGACATCCATCAACTTTCATATAAAAATACAGAGCTGCAGATCCTCTTCAGATATTCCTTCCAGTGAATGTAATAAACATTTTCTGAGAATTTTCTGTCTCAACTGTTTTAGATTTGAAAGCAGAGTAATGTTATTTTTTTGTGTGTTCTTACAAAAATCTAAATAGGTGTCAGCTGATCCACTGACCATTGGAAAATGTTTGTCCAAAAACAAACATTAAAGGTACCATTTGGCAATGGGAGACTCATGCAAGGCAACAGGGACAGGCAGCAAGGTAGCAAACATTGCCATGTAAAAGTGCTATCACGGTCTCCTTGCTTCAGTCACTAGCTCTCAAATGTGCTTCATATATATAATTCCATGTGTTTAGAAGTAAACAAGCCCTTTTTGGGTGTGTCTTACGCGATCATTTTCCTCTGTCTACTGTCATGGTCTCACGTTCCCAAATGGTATCTACCTCAAAAAGTGGGGATACAACAGCATGTTGGTAATTTTTTTCTTCTAAAGGTTGTTAGAATTTCAGTAATCAGAGTCAGTAAGTGCGTATGTTCATAATAAATGTAAAATTAGAATCAATAAAGAACAATCAAACCAAAAAACAACCCACAATATGTTTCCATCTCCACCCAGATATTGCATATTGATTAAATGAGGAATAAAAATCATTTAGATGTATTTTACCATTTTAAAGTGAAAGCAATGGTTTGTTACAGTGTTTTCGATTGGTCACACTCAATTCACACTCACGAAGTGTAAGTTTTTAGTTGCGAAGCACTGGTTCAATTTAGTGATGTCATACAAACTTATTTCAACTGAACAAGCATTTGACCACCCAGTGCATTGTATTTGACAGCTGTCATCTGAGTGATAAGTAGAAGTAGTCCATTCCAAATTCCAAACAAGATTCAAGCCAAGCTTTCAGTTTAAACATTTATTTAATATTGTTATAGAATATTTTATCAACAGGTTAACATAAGCTTACTTACGTTTAAGTTCTTAAGATGTCAACCAACGTATACTATGCATATACAGGACTTACAAGAATATTTATGGTACCTACCTGGGAGTCGTCCAGGTGTAACACCACCGATTCAATGTAATCTTTTATTTTTGGCAGTTTAGTTTTATTAAACTTGGCCTTAATTAAATCATCTTCATTTGAATCTAACGAAGAAGTCTCCAATATTTCTTTACAAATTCTAAAAAATTTATATATTTTAGAAACAACTCTTCATTTACCATCACCATATTTGTTACGACTGAACTGAAACTGAAAACCTGTCTCTACAAGTATAGGTACTTAGTAGGTACCTACCAGAGTTGGGTAGTATCCGGATACTTCTGTATCTGGATACTTTATATGTATCCGAAAACTGTATCTGGATACTTTTCAAATTTTGTATCCGGTATCCGTATTCGTGACCAAATTTGTAAGTATCCGGATACCAGATACTATTTTAGGCATTCAGATACTTTTAAATTATTTACCACAATCGTAACTGATCCAATCTATATTATCTCTGTTAAAATATATAATCGAAATACTTTGAGCAACCCTGTAGTATAATTAGAAATAAAATAAGTATTTTTCAATATTACAATATTTAAGACACAATTGCAATAGGTACCTACTTAAATAAAAAACAGTCAAATAATTATTTTATTATGATTTCTGTATCAGTTTTAGTGCCTAGCTATATGCAAAGGTAAGTAGGTGTAGGTACCTCGAATTTTTATTTTGTAAAATTTCTAATTACATTATTATTTCTTAAAATGTAGTCGAGAAAATACATATATGACGTTGTTGCTCATAATGTTACTCATCATGTGTTATTTATGTCGTCATCAATATCAATATCATCTGACAAAATCAAAAAATATACGAGCCTGCTTTGTCTATGCCAGAACGAAACATTTAGCAATCTCTCACTCCTCTTCCTTTTGACGCTCTCGACTCTACCAAGTACCGCTCGTCGGAGGAGAATATCGAAAGGTTGTAAAAACATGGCAAGTCGCGCCAACAACGAGCCTATTTCGTTAGATTTACACGGACACGACACTGGCTGGTTTTTGGCGCGGTTCAGGCGTGACTCGTTTTATTTACACGCACCTTTATGTTTTATTGTTCATTTTGTTTTAATGTTTTATATTCACATAATAAAAATAATAAACAATTTATTCAGTAGTTTTTTTCCTGTTTCTATTATATCGCTTTCCATTTTCGATAATTTATTTATGCCCAGTATTGTTTATTGTTACTTTTAATCAATCTTATTGCATAACTATAACTATTGGTATGAAAACATTATTTTAACTCCCTTTAAATGTATCCATAAAAGTATCCGAAAAAAGTATCCGGATACTTGTATCCGAGTACTTTTTAGGTGAAAGTATCCTAAAAGTATCCGGATACATTGTAAGTATCCGTATCTGGTACTTGGATACTTTTTTCCTGTATCTGACCCAACTCTGGTACCTACCTATGGTTTATCTCAAAAATATTGTTATCTAGTGTGAAAAGTATATAAAATGCTAACTTTTCAATAAAATGGGCTCAGAAAATCCCTATGAAAGCATTATTTACATTATACAACATTAAAATTAAATTATATTTACATTAAGTACTTAATTTATTACTAAACCAAAATACAAAATCAATGACAGGATGTGTCACTTGGCCCTTCATACTTTTAAAATTAATTGGACACACACAGTGTGGAAGTTTGGGAAATTTTGGCAGTGCATTTTATATCAAAATTAGCCCTTCTCAAAATAAAACATGTTTTTCAAAATTTCTGAAAAACTATTTAATTTCAGATTTTTAGTAAACACCATGTAGGTAGGTAGGTATGTATACAATATAATATAAATAGGTACCTATCTGCATAAAGTATGAACTACGAACTTAAATCTTTGCTGTTTATTTCCTTTGCCATGCAAGGTCAAATTCCTATAAAGGCTACAATCCATACCTACCTGAGGTTGATACCCTAACTTATTTTTTAATACTAAATATTAACTGATGGCTACTGCAACCTTATTTATTAAATTAATATTATTTTTAAATAATTTTATCATATAGGATATAACACTGAGAAAATATTAACGGGGTGTTGTAGAATTAATTATGTACCTGAAACCTGAAGTTGACTGCAGTATTTATGTCAACAAATTGCAAAATGTCGGTAGAGCAGATCAAAAAACGCCTACTCTTATAATAAAGCATGATTCATTATTATTTCTACGATCAAATACCAAGCCTACCTCGATAAAGTTGTGCCACGGCCGATGCTGAATCTTGGAAGGAAGACCATAATCTAGTTTGGTAATTATTTGTTTCTGATATCAGATTCTGTTCGAAATTTGGTTGTTCTTCCAGAGAATCCGAGCACTGTTGTTCCCAACTGGTTAACCAATTGTCCTCACCATTTTCACCGTTCATTTTGTTAAAGTTTAAAAACAAAACTACGAAAATTTACAAACTTATATCCTAACTACGCGACAACTTTCAGCTGTGAGCAACCGTGTCCGACATGTTCGAGGCTTTGTGCTGCGTTTTACAGCGTTGTCAGATTTACTTCATTAAAGAATCAATACAAGTGGACATTTTCAGCTGACTGATGTAAAATTAGATTTCGTCCAATTATCTGAGCCTGACTGTGATAACATATTTTTAAAACTTACATATATCCAAATAAAATGATTTGATTAATTCACTGTAGTTAATAAACACTTTGAAAAGACATTTATTTTGAAAAGACAAAAATGTATTATTTCAATAATAAACATGTATGTACAGCCATATATAATGTATCATAACATTTTTAAAAAGTGTTAAAAATTACTTTAAAATATATTAATACTTATACAAACAACGATAATAACTAAAAATATTTTTTAAATTTTCTCTGTTTACAGCAATTTGTATGAAAATTAGGAGATCTGACAACTACATATACGTTTTGCTTTGTGACGTAACACATATTTCCACCTTCATACAATGTTGTCAAAGTTCATTAAAAAAATGAGCAATTGAGTAAACAGAAAAGTATGGATGAATTTTAGTATAACCATCGTTTTTATCAAATAAATAATTTACATAGTTTTTGAACCAAATTTTCAATTGTATGTGAGTTTATTACTTTATTTAGAAATTGTAAAATATTAATAAATAACTGATATTTTTAATATACAACAATAATCTTATGCTTATTTATCACAAGTTGACATCATCGCATGAAATTAGTTTTGTCATTAGTCGTAAGATGGGGTTTTTGAAAATGGATAGGTAACTCCATTGCAATATATGGTACTTCCACAGCTTATTTATGAATTTATTTATGAATAAGCTGTGCTTCTACTTCTAATAATCGTCTTGTGGTACAAGGCACAAGGTACCCTGAGAAGGTACCTTTACAGTACCTTTATATGCTGCGTTTGAAAAGTACCTCGTTTTGCTTTTTTTTTACTCGATACCGTTCTTTTAATTCATCCAAGCTCCGTTTTCTCCATTGATATGGTTTGCTCGATGTCAGGTGACCAAAAATCTACTGGTTCTGCTAAATATAACAATACAGATCAATACAGACATTTGTATGAAGTTCTTTATACAATTATACACACCATCATTTTACAAGGATAGAAGCAGTGTCATATCAATTTCTAAACAATATATGGTCATGAAATGAAACATGGGCAACCAACATTACACATTTCGAGAAAATTGCCTAGTTTTAGTAGATTATTATTAAATCTTTTAGAATTTTTAATTATAAAGGTAATACGTATGGAAAGATAGTTATTTTCTATATTTCTTAAAAATAGGTGAAAAAACTAAAGCAAAGAAGTATATTTTTTCTAGGGCTATCAGCTATAAGTCATACTACACTTCCTCAATACTTATTTCTAGTTAAGAAATGTGACGTTTAATTTCATTTTCTTATCTTAAAACTGATTACACAAATATCATTAATTTTAGAGATAATACCCTAATTATTCTGGATATAATGGATATTTTGGATATAATGAACTATGTATGTTGCGTTAATTATTAACGTCATGGGCACTGAAAGTGTTAATTGACATTAGATAATTTTGACATTATTTATGTCAATTATCTGTATAGGGTGATTTCAAAGTTTTCAAATAAATAACTTTCCAAATAAATTACTAACTTTTCTAACAAATAACTTTTTCAGATAATAAAATTTTTCAAATAAATTTTTAAAATAAATAACTTTTTCAAATAAATAACTAACTTTTCAAATAAATAACTTAAATAGAAATAATTTGAAAATTCGGGAACAAATCTCAAAAATCCCCCTATGAATTATTAAGACCATCCCCGAACCCCAAAGGTGAAAACAAATACTTGGAGATTTGAAAAAAGCCTGTCGTCGCTGATATTTGAACCCAGACAGCTTTATTCTTTACACAAATGCCCTACCTCTAGACCATCACGACAATAACTGTCGAGGTTCCTAGATGGCAGTTTTATGTGCTAATTCGGGCCAAGCGCCGTTTCAGACTTAACTTTTTGAAATAAATATCTTTTTCAAATTAATAAATTTTTGAATTAATAAATGGTCTCAAATAAACAAATTTTTCAAATAAATAACTTTCAAATAAATAACTTTTTCAAATAAATAACTTTTCAAATAAATTACTTTTTTAAATACATAACTTTTCAAATAAATTTCATTTTCAAATAAACCTTTTCAAAAAAAAGATCCGAAATAAAAATAATACAAAACCGAAAATCTAATGATTTAGCTCGGTGGCCACGGAACAAAGAAAGTTACGTATTAAAAAAATATAAATCTGGACCTATTATTAGTCGGAAAGTGCGGGAGTGTTTAAACATTACTTTACAGAATAAGTGTATCTTCAAATGGCTACCAGACCTAAATCCTTGTTACGTTGTTAATTGTTTATTTTAATGAATACACATTTAAAAAAGAAGTATCAACTTTGGAATCACCCTGTATACTATATTTGTGCTATTCCTCGAACAATCGATTATATGTACCTACAAACCAGAGCCGTGGAAGTCATTCTCAATCTCACTCCTCTTGATATTTACATCAAAGAGGTTGCTCTGATGATAATGACACGGCTTCGCACGATTGAAATAGAACTTAAAGAACTTGATGTATGGACTTCATCTAACCGAGATATATCTTCCATATGCCATATAAAGTTATAAGGGAACAAATAGAAGAGCCGGAAGTGGTAGGTAAAATTCATATCTATACCGACGATTCTAAAACCAAACAAGCCTCAGGATGTAAAATATAGTACCCATCCTTAAACCTAAACATAAAATGGACTGAGAGCAATAATGCAAGTGGAGTTTCAATCGAACTCATGGGATTCTCATAGCAGTAAAAGCAGTTACCAGAAATAGTATCATTGGAAGGAATATACAGATATCAGGCAAGCACTACTCACCCTGAACAGACCATTAATTTACTCAGGGTCACGTAGCTTTGGCCGAAGTATCTATCAATAATGTGGTCAATTTAAGATGGATCATAGGTAACCGTCTAGTTGACTCACTAGCCAAAAAGGCAGAAAACCAAATACTTTTTGGACCTGGCCCTTTCATTGGAATGATAACATCGGTGGTGACAAACCTATTTAAATAGCATTCCATTGTGAAATTCAAGGAAGTATAGGATGAAACAAGAAGCTGCAGAGTTACCAGGGTGCTTTTAAGTTATTCCAACAACATAACAGCAAACAAATACTTGACTATGACTAGACAGAATCTGTGTCTGGCCACAGGCATTCTGACTGGTCATTGCCAAGCACAGAAGCACCTCATTAACATGGGACTGTGCTGGAGATGCGAACAAGAAGATGAGAACCATCAAGCATATGCTCTACGCTTGTCCGACGCTTTTAATTATCAGAAGATTTGTGTTCAGCGAGCAATGACTAACATCGGCCGATATAAGAGAAACACCTATTGGCGACGTTGTCAACTACATCAAATCTGTAGGCTAGCTGACGAGCTAAGAGGAGCTTCTCAATTCAGGAGGACGTATAATGGGCCCAGTGAGAGCTAAGTGCCGTAGGACAACCCACCGTCCACACGTTACAGATACAATGTACTTTTGTAAAAGGAGTTTTCATGGTCTCTCCCGAACTGGTTTCATATTTTTAATAGACATTTATATAAAACCCTCATAAGGTATATTTTTATTTAGGGTTTTGGTGTTCCTAATAAATATTTCAGGTACTTTTATTATTACCCTCCTCTCACAACTAAATAAATTTATCTAAAAATTTAAAATAATATAAAATTTTATTACTTAAGTGAAAAAATCGTCGCACCGTACCACGCACATGTGATGGCGCGCGCACGCAACAATTGTGTAATTTGTTTAACGTTGAAATAAATCCGAAATGGGTAAATAATTCATTATTCCCGAGACTACAGCGTTGCCGGATATGATGGGCTTCGTATTGTTGGTTCGTTTAACATGTATATAAACACGTTTGACTCTTGTTCCCCCTGTCGCTAAATCCCCTGAACTACAAGTGCATATTTTGAGATTTTTTCGACCTTATGAAGCCCCCTATTTTTTTATAAAACTATACAGATAGAGTTACTTGCCACTAAAAGGAATTTATACACTGTGTTTTTAGGAAGCCCAAAATCGGGGTTCGTAAGTACCAAGTGGGTATCCCTAGTCAAATGTAACGTATTGGGTTTTGTAAGTTCTGATTGCATATATATGTATATGTTACGGTCTTAAACGATATTGGCCGGTCATTTTCGTAAATCTCCTATTTGATTGGGCATTCTGCTGACGTTAGTGTCCGGTCAATATCGCCAGTGCCCAATTTACAACACTGCCCGTAACATAATACATATAATGATCATGTTATTTTTATAAATTATAAAAATTAATTTAAAGCTTTAAATGTGTGCAGCAGTGTCTTACAGCTAGTGATATACAATTCTCGAGTACGTATTTTTGGAGAACCCTCGAGCACAAACGTGTATTAACGAGAATAAACGAGCATAAATGAAAAAAAAAAAACAAAACCCAAGAATGTATATTTGAGGAGTAAGTGAATTACTTTTCACGGTTCTTTCTGAAAATGCTCAAAATGCTGAAAATGCTCGATATTCTCCTAACGCTTCATAAGAAAAGGACACTGTACTAATATTCTGTGTTGCAAATAATGTAGTAATATTAATTTTTGTCAGTTCTTTTTTTTTATTCTTTTCTATAGGTAAATATTTTTTCAGGCAGGTTGGCGATGGGTTGAAAAGACTCATCGTCAATTTTTAATAAATAAATAGGTGCCTATTATATTTCCATTAGAAAAATCCTCTAATTAAAAAGCATTTGATTATATCTAACAGGGGCGGATCCAGAACCTATCAAACGGAAGGAGGGAGGACACTTTGATGAATTCAAAGCGTGG